GACATTGAAATGAGGCACTCCAGGAAAATAGAAAAGCAAAAAAAAAAAAAAAAAAATCGACATGTAGAACTCTTCAGGACGTTCTCATTAGAACAAGGTCAACCCACCCCCTCCCACATCTGGCTTCCCCGAAATGAAGCACTTCGTCCCCTCTTCGACCTGAGAACACTACTCGCATGTAAGTAATAATAATAGAGCGCGGTGAGCACGGTCGATTACCAACGGTCCTTGAAAGTGAGACTCGCCGAGTAGTTTTGGGATCAATGCCGCAACAAATTCAGTTGGCCTCCCTTTCTCCTCTCCCTCAGAGATACCAATTATTTTGATATTGTTACGTCGTGATCGCCCTTCTAAGTCGTTGACCTTCGCTTTGAGGGCTTTATTCATCTTCTGCAAATCAGTCACAGCCGCTTCGAGAGCGCACAGCTGGTTATCATGGTCCCATGCCTGACATTCAACAGCCTCCACTCTCTCCGCAAATTCCTGAACCGACGTCTGTAGAGATCGAAATTCTTCCTCAAACTTGTCGAATCTTTCATTTATAGTTAAGAATCTTGTTTGATATCTTTTCCCACATCAGTGGCATATCGTCGGTGATTGCTTGACTAGCAGCAGCATTAGCTTTGTCGCAGCTGGTCGACGGCTGACCAGAGTTTTTCGAGGCTTTCGCTGGTTTTAAAGGCATTTTCGTGTATCAAAATGTAGGCCAAGTGATAGTTACAAGTTGAGTAAAAGTTCACAACACAGGCATACAAAGTAAAAAATTAAGACGACACCTAATTTCACTCATTTGAAAACTTGGCATGGAGGAGCTCGATGAAACACGTCTACTCCATGCGCACCTCAGCAGCGCCCCCCCAACATAATTAGATTTTCACACAAATCCTGAAAGTAGACAAAGAGAATCCAATCAAACAAAGGAGACAAAAATATATACTTTGTCATTTATTTATTGAGAAAAATTATCCAATGTTACATATTTGTGAGTGGCAAAAGTATGTGAATCTTTGCTTTCAGTATCTGGTGTGACCCTCTTTTGCAGCAATAACTGCAAGTAACGTTTCTTGTAACTGCTGATCAGTCCTGCACAACGGCTTGTAGGAATTTTAGCCCATTCCTCAGTACAGAACCACTTCAACTCTGTGATGGTGGTGGGTTTCCTCCTATGAACTGCTTACTACAGGTCCTTCCACAAAATTTCAATTGGATTAAGGTCCGTAATTTGACTTGGACATTCCAAAACATTAACTTTGTTCTTCTTTAATCATCCTTTGGTTGAACGACTTGTGTGCTTGGGGTCGTTGTCTTGCTGCATGACCCACTTTCTCTTGAGATTCAGTTCTCGAACAGATTTCTCTCCTGACATTTTCCTTCAGAATTTGCTGGTATAATTCAGAATTCATTGTTCCATCAATGATGGCAAGCCATCCTGGACCAGATGCAGCAAAACAGGCCCAAACAATGATACTACCACCACCATTTTTCACAGATGGGATAAGGTTCTTATTCTGGAATGCAGTGTTTTCTTTTTCCAAACATAACACTGCTCATTTAAACCAAAATGTTCTATTTTGGTCTCATCCATCCACAAAA